GGGTATAGTTTCTTAAAGAGAAAAGAAGCTATACTTACCTCTTGGACACCGCATATACCTATGAAAGGATTCCCTATACCGTGTCGTCATTATAGAGTAAATTAAGAAGGCTTTACTCTGTAACAGTATGTTCTATATTCTGCAAATGCACATTCACTTAAAAGATTTTCTATATCATACTAACCTCTCTAAATGCACATAGCTAATCAAAATTCAGTATTCAAGTTGTATTACACAAGCCTACAGATCAAACATTAAAAGCTGCAATTTGATTGGCTTTCTCTAAATGCAAACCTCCCTAAATGCACGATTGAAGCTAGTCTATACATGTTGTATTTATGGAGGTTTAACTGTATATAAAAATATATGTGGAAAAAAAAAATTATAAATAATAAAATAAATAAATTTTTTCTAATAAATTATAAATTTTATTGCTAAAATATAAATATATTCAATTTTATATAGTGATATATTTAACATTATTAATTATGAGTTTAAACTACTAGACAATCAGATTAGGTTGTTTTTATATTAGCAAATAAGTTAGCTCTAGTAATGCGGTAGAATTACCTTAGCGATGCCTATAATTGGTTACAGCATAAGCTTTAGCTAGCTACAGCTCAAGCTATAACATTATTAAGATAATTCTACCATATTACTAGTTGGCTCTAAACTAGCGGTGTAGATAAGTTTTAAAAAGTAATAGGTAAATTGCTATATGTATAAAGCTCAGATCTATTTTGTTCTACTAATTTTAAACCCTACTCTTAAGTAGATCCTGAGTCTAGTACATGTTTAAAAGGTTATTTGTAAAAAAAAAAAGTGTAATATGTAGTTCAGTAGTTCAGGTAAGTTTACTATTTATTACTACTATATACCTGATACGTATATAAAAATTTGTATATTTCTATATTAGATCTTTTATTAATGAAACTGCGTCAAATTTATATAATAGTTGCAGATTATTTTATTCAGGTGACTTTCAGATTATCAATTAATTAACTTATAAATTAGTTGTTATAAAATGTGCTACAAAATAATTTTTTTTATATTTGCTTGCTAATACAATTCAATGCCAATTACTTTATATTCATCTATTCCAATCTAATAACTTTTATTTGTGCTTCTCATATTTGTCAAAATGATTTCTTCATTTTCTTTATTTTATTTTCTAGAACTATATCATATTCTTTACTGTTTTTGATTCAACTAATTGATTCTTCAATATGTTAGAAAGACCACATGTTTTGAAAGACTTGATAATAATTTCTACTAGTATGTCGTTTCATACCTCCATAATCCAATGATACATTAAATCATGAGCTAGTTTTTTCATTCTACCTCTCTTAGTATATTGATGTTCTCTGGTATCCATCCACACTTTCTATTTCCTATAAAGTCAATCTTTAAAGGTTTATTGATATTGACATCTAAAGGTTGTACTATATGTGTTAGTCCACTAGAAATAATACCCAAAACTGTATTTGCTTTATAGTATTTGTTTTTTACAGATAGTATAATATATCTTTCAAATAAATCAAAAACTAATAAAGATTTTTTTTCTCTCCCAAATCTTTGTTGTCAAACTGTTTTTAACTAGTCTATTATAAACTTTTCATCTATCTTTCTACACTCTAACAACTACACCAAGTGGATAATTCCCTTTAAGTATTCTTTTTTCTTTAAAGATAATTATTGACAAGAGTTTCAATTTGTCTGCTATTACTTCTAAAACACAAGTAAATTGGTTCTTATTATTGTCTGTTATACATATAAGTACTGACTGAACACTATGGTTATCGAGTGTAAAAACACCCACTATATCAAAACAAACTGGAGTTTTGTTCATATTAGCAATATAGTTAAGATTGAAATTATTGTTCTTTTATAAATTATTAATAAAGTTATGAAATGCAGTAACTTTTTCTTTTAAATTTTTAAGAAGCTTTTGAGAAGCTTTTGTATGTCTGCGAAGAGAGAAATCAAAATGATTTATAAAACAATTAAGCCATTGATCTGAGGCTTTAAAACTATAAATAGCACCAGAGTATAAAATTCTGAATTCCTAAGAAAGTAATTTAGTTATACGATGTTTGGTATCATTAGATGTAACTGCTATTCTTTTTAGATATCACTTAGTTATCTATTTTTTTAATAATTCTTTAGCTAATAGATATAATGATAACAAACTAGATACTACTCTATAGTTTGTTTTTCTTGCAGTTTTTAACTGTTCTTCTTTTTCTCTCCACTTGCCAACTTGTATATGGTTAACATTAAACATTTATGCTGCAGCGTAGTTATTCGTTTTTTTTGTATAATTAATTGCTTCAAGTTTTAAATTGACAGAATAGCTTTTGCACTTTTCTTTAATTTTAATAAAGTGTAAGAAAATAATTTTAATTTCTTTTTTTACAAATTACAAAAAAATATATTTATTTATACTTAAATTTATGCAAATAATCAATAACATGCATATTTATTACTTGATATATTAATTAAAGGTATCAGAAAAAATATAAAGAAACAGTTAAGTATTTTTATATATATATT